TATGATATTATTATTATTATATATGACAGAAAAGGAAATTATTTCGTTTTCCAGGGGGGGGGGGGGGGGGAGGGGTGAAAAGCTCGGCCGCCATAATTAGAAATTGTTATACAGCAATTGCGTAATTTCAGTGTAATGGAAAATAATATTGTAATGTTTCGCTTTTAGCGGGCGCGTTGATAATAATAATTATTAATATTGTATAGTTCGCGTTCAGAAACTGCAGCCGGGAAATCGATTTCAAAACGGTTATTACAATATTCGTTCGATAACCAGTTAACCTAACCTAACCGAATCGACTTTCTAATAATATATTACACCGTCTGTTTTGTGAACTAGCCACCAAGGATTGCTTCAGTTGTACGATTCGGGGATAATGTATACGACGAAATACACATTACGGACAGTGCATACTATGCGGTGGTCGTGGATGAAAAATCCACCAGAAAATCGTACTCGTACCGTGTGGCGGATTTGCGCAAAACAGTCGAAAAGGACAACATTTCGGGAATAGAAACGGGGTTTACCGCTTACGGAACTTTGAAACAGGTATGTGCCAACAAAAGAAAGTATCTCAGTAAAAGTTCTTTTTGACTTCACTTACTGGCACCCACAGCCTCAACCGTTGTTGTCCGGTAATTTATTTTTAAAAAGTGCAGCAGAATCCGGGAACAAAGGTAATAAGGAGCAAAAAAGTAACATGTTGGATTTATTTTCCGTGATAATTATTTAAAACCATTAGCGATTGTAAGCTTTATTGACGCCATATACATAGGAAAACGAAGTTAAACACGTGTAACAAAATATACATTTTTATTAAAAGAAGATGGTTACTGAAAATACATTTAATTTAAAAACAATCCTTTTTTTTTTTAAATTGTTCGAATTTATTATTATTATTAAATTAATTTTTTCAATTATTTCTTCTGTATTTCCTGTGTACAGTAATATAAATTATAACAATTTTCGTGATTCGTATAAAATGTAATAATTATTTTATTATAACAACAAGAGTTGTTTTGTGTTTTAAATAAAATAATAAGCCTATGCAAATGTTAAAGTACCGATTATAACTTTAGAATACATTACTTAATTTGTATTCAATTTTAATATTTTACGATTCATTTAATATAAATTTACTATTTTTTTTTGTTATTTTTAATGTTTCTTCGGAAATGTTAAGAAAGTGCGAATTTTTTGGATGCAAACTGCAGTATCTATTGTTCTTGGATAAAAATAACTACTGTCTGTATACTAAATTTTTAACCGCTTAAATATAACAATAATTTTTTTCTATTGTCTATTTTTCATTCACTTCCCCTCCCCCCGACATCTGATTTGAAAATATTGTGTACGCTACTGATTCACGTGAGATCAATATTATTTTAGCGAGTTTTTTAACGTTCAATAAACCCGAACAGAGTTTTCAATCGGACGGGTTAATATTATTGTGTAATATAATGCACGGATGGGACATCCTTCCAACGTCACAAGCTGTGTCTGTGAAATTTTAAACCATACAATTACTCATAGTATTAGTACATGCCCTAACAAAAAATACGACAGAAGTCTGAGTGAATTTGTTAGTCTGACGCCGAGCTCTGTGGAGTGTATAACAAATCTTGATCTAAAACTATAAACCACATTATGTTATGACTAAATCCTAAATTACACTAATTCCGTTAGAAAAATGTATTTAAATTTTATATTTATTTTTGTTTTATTTATTCTATTTTTAATAATTTTTTAATACAACATATGAATAATAATAATAATAATAATAAAATATTATATCTATATGTTGTTGTCGTGGAGAAAAAAAAAATCAAAATCAAAAAGCGTATTTGCATTGTTCACGGTTTGTTTGTCCCGACCACGAAAACCCCAATGCCCTATATTATAAAGGCAGGTACCGGAAACGTATAAATAAGACGTGTAAAGTTACTCAATGCGAATTAAGTGGCAACGGTGTTCCCTCCGGTCGTGGTGTTCCGCTGCGAAACTTTTCTCATACCAAAAACTTCCCGATACTTCTCCGGTTGTAGCGGTCTTATCCCACGAATACTTATTATTTCAGTCTTTAATTAAGCTGAATCAAGGCTGGTATATTTAGTACCTACAGCTACTGTACGCAGAGTTTCAAACTATGTGTTCGGCACACAGTGACTTATATTCGATTTTACTTACTTGATTTATTTTTTACAAAAACGAAATAATTTTTTCTGTTGCCATCAAACGTCACTAAACGGCTTTACATGAGAATCATCGAAAAAAATAAATGTATAATATAATTCCTTACTCGAAACGCACTTTAACATTTACATATTGTTTAATATATTATAGCTAGAAGCTAGACTGAGTTTTTCACAGAAAGATGACTCCGTAGTTTTATCATAAATTATTAAATTTAATTAGATATTATGTTAGTATTATGTAAAATAAAATCAGATTTTAATTTCCTGATTTTAAAACCAACCTAATGCCCAACATGAAATAAAGTCAACTCCACCAAACATAATATGATCAACCACTGTACTAAGTTCACCGAAGCCAGAAAAAAATTCAACATTCCGGACAATCTATAAGAAGCAAATTTCATTGGTCTAATTTCAGATGTCAAAAAACTTATTTTCTTACTATAAAAAATAGAAATATATAGCCTTAAATTCAAACAATGTAAAAATCGCGTATTTAGTTAATAACGATTGTAGTTGACGTTATAAACAATAAAAAATAAATAAATAATGTAACCCATAAATCAGTAAAAATAACCTCCCTTAAAAATATGGATGAGAAAAGTAGGTTATATATTATCCTGGTCTAGAGCTACATAAATCAGTGGCGCAATTTTCGGGAGTGCTAGGTGTGCAATTCACATCCAACCCCAGATTTTGGAGCACCTCGAAAACTCGTGGTATAGTTAATAATATACACGCACAAACACAACATGTGGTATAAGTATGTTTTTATTGTGGTCTATACTTAATTCATTTTACCAAGAGCGCCAGCGATAGTAAGCATAGATTGTATTATTTGTTTTAACTTTTACTTTAGATCCTAAGTGGAGCAAAGAAGCTTGATTTTATAAACATTTTTATTTTTGTTTGTGCTAAAATTTTATACCAGAAATCTTGTTCCCATTTCAAGAGTAGCAACTTTTCTAAAAGGAATTCTGACAGGGGAAGGAGAATTATTTTTTGATTTTCCCAAGAATTTTCCCAGCAAATGTGAGAAACTTAAAACAACATGGGAAAACCCAGAAAACCATAGGAAAAACGGGAAAATTGGTAAAAAATTAAACAAATGTTATTGAAGAAGATATAGAAAGCCTATTCAATTATTTTACTATTAAATAACACATACATACTGTTGATAAAGCATCGCTATTAACTGAACTCAAATCAGTGTGGTTTTTTTCGTTAGCAATGTTTTATCATTGCTTACAGGTGTACATTAAATTACCTACAACTGTGACTGCATCCGTCCCCATCATTTTAGGACAGCTTTTTTGTGTGCTTATTATGAGTAGAGACACAAAGAATAATAGAATGATACCTTTATTTCTGTTACATTTGCTTAATTATTTGGCAACCCTAAGGGACCCCAGTTAGAAAATGTTCCCAATGGCCCATTATTATTAAGTTATGTCGCTGACATCAATACAAATGTACAGCTCAAATTGTAAAATATTTTGTGTTTAAAGTGATAACAAACATAAATTATCTTAAAGAAACATTTGAATTTACATTATAATTAGGAATTTTCGATTCCGATTTTATTATACGGTTGTTATTTATATTAAATATTGACATCATGGTCATTGAACAATGGCTGTGTGGCATTACTGTATTATAGTGAATAAACTTATTCGATAAATCGTAAATAAATCAATGATCAAACGGTTGCATGAGCCAAATTAAATCCCGCCGTAATACGGTATGATTAGTGAGTTAATATTAAGTGGAACCTACTTTAGCAGTCATAATCAAAAATATTTTATTTCAAAAAAATGTCGATATATTTTCATACCCGGCAACTTAATAGTAACCACAGTAATAATTGTCCGTCTAAAGTTCATTTTTATTATTAAAATTATTTTAAATATACAAACCTATTTTAAAAATAATATCTTATATCAATATATTTTAGATAATAAATAATAACCAAATAATTTATATTTTTTAACATATCTATGTCTAATAATAACCGATTTTAAATAATCTCTCCTATTAAAATAAATTATTTCTATATAAAACGACCAATTTGTGTAACGTTTTTTTTTATGTATTCCTTCGTTTAATTTTTTATATTCAGTCACGTTTTACATTTTGACTGTGATATACCTGATGATGAATTTTTAATACGAAACCTGTCGTATAATACATTTATCAAAATACTCCATTGACTCATTTGTTCATTATATTTTTATATATACATTTTTATTTATAAATTTTTTAATATATTTATTTACTTTATACTCTTTTTAGAAATAAACTGTTTTTTTTTTTTTTTTTTTTTATACTTGTTTAAATGGAACGTATTAAAAAAAAGACGAAATTTGTTTACTTTTTAAATTAATGTGAATGTTGAAAGAAGGTGACAGGTATTCAAAAATATATTACGTTTGTTCTTGTGCCTGTTAACGATTTCGACAAATAACAATATTATTACTATCAGAAAATGTGGATTATCATAAAAATAATTATTTTGATAGTTTTTAATATGAGGACAGACATATAAATGATAAATAAAAAATAAATTATACTATGGTTGTAATGATTAATATAATCATATATTTATATGTATCAATTATTATTTAGATAATTAACTATAATTTGGCTTATTAGGTGTCTACACGTGTCATTTCCACTAGGTTTTTTTGCTCAGAGTCTTCTTTGTTCACAGACGCATCATAATTAGTGTACAGTTAAATTAATTGCATATATTGCAGTAGTTCATCGTAATTTATACTCATATTTTATTTCTAGTGTTCAAATTTGACTGACGACAGGGGTGGGTGAGAACCAAATTCAGACCGGGAGATTAAAACGTATCCAGTCCATCCAAAAAAAGTACGTATACTTTTAGTACGTTTACTGAAGTAAGTACGTTTAGTAAGTATTAGTATAGTAATAAGGTATTGAGTAGTATGTAGAGAGATGATTTTTTGATTTTTACTAGGAGTTTTCTCAATAAATGGGAAAAACCGGCAAAAAACATGGGGAAACCATAAGAAAAACGGGAAAATAGGTACAATATTAAACAAATATTATTAAAGAAAATATATAAAGCCTATTTAATTATTTTACTATTATATAACATACATATTGTTGAAAAAGCATCACTATCAACTGAACTCCGCTCAGAATCGTTTTTGCAATGGTTTATCGTTGCTTACAGATATACATTAAATTACCTAAAACAGTGGTTGCACACGTCCCCATTATCCTAAGACGTCTTTTTTTTTTCTTGTACAATTAATCGATTCTGTCCTGCGATTCGTGATGTTATCATCATTATCATAGTTATTAAAAGTGCGATTCATCTCCTTTTTATTTTTGTCATCGGCCCACGTCATAGACCCAGAGCATTTATTTCGTTCGCCATTCTCTCCACATGAGTCTATACACTAACTAAAGTCGTTTCGATCGTTCGACAACATAATAACAACATATATTATGTATACAGGTATACGTATTTTTTTCCACTCGACCCTATCAATACCCGCCGTCGTTGAAAATAGCCGTTTCGGTTTGTCTCTTCCGGAATTGATTTTTTTAAGATCGGGTTCGATTATTGCAGCGGCAGCAACAGCAGCGGCGGGCGGTTATTCTCATCTATAACGTCCGCGTATCGCACGCTTCCAATCTATTTTCTCGTCGTCGTTGTTGTTGTCTCGAAATCGTTTTCCATATTATTATTATTATTATTATTATTATATCGATTCCTCCGCGTGTAAATACTCCCAAGACACATTTCTCCGCCGCGGGTTTACCTGCAAAGCCGGTGTCACGCATCCCACGTAATGTTCTCATTATTATAGCGTCGTCGATTATCTTATTGCGTTTTCCTTTTTTTATTTTTATCGGTTTTTTTAAAAAAAAATCTTCCGGACACGTTGGTTTCTCGCCAAAACGTTTAACTATAATAGTCGTAAATAAACATATAAACAAAAAATGTATAACTATTATACACGTAATGATATTCCTTTATAGGCAGTATTACGCGTGATACGAGGAGCGCTCGAGTTTAAGTAAATTTTTTATTTTCCTCGTGTTTGGTGCAGTTGATACAGTGCGATGACTATATACAAACCGGGAAGCGTTTTGAATATTTGTGATACATATACGTTAATACACGTCTTCATACAAATGTAAGCACCGAAAATATGTATATTGATATCAGGGTTAACTACGGTTTTGGTATACGGTACCTATATAGAAATTATTTCCTTAGATATTTTCGATGAAAAATTGATTATATTTTCACTTTTTTCACCTCTGATTTTATACAGTTTGAATTCTACTAGTTTCTGTGAAAAAGATTATGTAAAAAATAATCACTGCGATACCCTCCGATAATGTATCTACTTCTATTTGAACTGCTAACAGGTCCGATTTAGTTTTTAAACTTACTGTGTGTTTTTCATACGCGATATACCCGAATGAAAAATTTGAAAATAGTAAAACTTAAATGATACATTTTCGTGACAATCTTTTTATTTCCTTTTTGTTATCATTTGTATTAACGAGAAATTTGAATCGTTCAACGTTATGAAACAAATCAATTGTATATGGAAAAATTAAATACACTTCCTCAAAATAGACAATTTAGTATAAATCATCGATTTAAAATATAATAGTCCTAAACATGTATTTCTGTTTCATTCTTATAACTTTCCTTTATCTACCCAAAAATTGTATCAATATTCGATATCCAACCACAGTTCTACACAATATGTCTAGCCCGTAGTATTTCCCTTCATCCTTTTCAATTATATTATTGTATAGCTACAGTGTACTTGGGATATTGTATTGAACACACTTTTTCTTAGTTCCCCTGTGGTTTAAAATCAATTATCTATCCTTTTCCATTCAATTCTTATATATTTTTCATTCCGACCTATATTCTCACCTCAAGCTTCGCTCGACCAATATTGTTAACTTTCTTTAATACTTAATATAGCTGTTCTCTTTCAAAATGTTTTATTAATGATTTTTTTTTTCTACTTTACTCGTCTTAAAATTAAAAAAAAAAAAATAATAATAATAATAATAAATAAAAAATCGTGAGTATTTTATGTAGATAACCTTTAAAGAAGAGTAAAATCAAACACTTATCTATGAAAATGTAGTGATATATTTCATAAAAAAATTCAATTTACGTAAAAAATAAATTTGAAATTATAACGTTTGTTATAGTCTAATGCGTTATTGAAATGTTCACTGTTTTACGAGCTAATTCAAGTATAGACGTTTTCGAGAAAAATACAGTATGTCGTGTGACCATTTTTTTTTGTCCTTAACTATTCGACAATGTATCCTAAAAGTTCTGAAACTTTCGCATGAACGGACAAACGATACGTGCTCGGCGTATTTTCCGACGAAATAAAATAGAAATCTCTGCTTATATATATATATATATATATATATATATATATATATATATATATATATGTAGCTCTATATGTATATACATATACTAATAATCGATTGTTTAGAAATAATAATTCAAACATCCGTTTTATTGAAACCGTTAGACCAGAATAATCTCTGGTATCGTTAGGCGTTTAACTAATTTTGTAAAGCATTCATATTCATATGAGCTTGTTTCGTCTATATTATTGGAATTCGTATTAAAAAAAAATAAAAATATAAAAAAAATTAAGGACAGTCATAATTTGCACATGGGTGCAGGGAATGTTTTAGATGGGAAGCTGGGAAGGTAGGATATAGACGGGAATTTAATATATATTTATAAGCAACGAGACACCATTACTAACGAAAAGCGATTTTGAGCGGAGTTCAGTTGATAGTGGTTACTTTGTCAACAATATAATATATGTCATATTATGGTAAAATGATTACTACAATATACATTTCCATCACAACGATTGTTTAAAAATATTAAAATAATAAAAACTTAATTATAACAAATAAATAAATACAAACGGTTGCTAATGAGAACCTTATTTTTAATCTATCAATCTTTTTTAACCTAAAAAACCTAGTTTTCTTCATTATCTCGAATGTAAATGAGAATTTCAAAAAATGACTTCTTTAAAATACCACCCAAAGAATAATTCTTTTCAGACAAAGTGCTATACTTGATCGGTAAAAATAAAAAATAAAAATAAAATGTATAAACGAACATTGTACCAATCATGTGGTTACACTTTGGCAACTAAATCCAAGTGAATTACACTATATTATATGTACAGTAATCGTTTATATTAATTAACTATTTTAATACAGGTTTATTGGTTTTTATTAAATTTTAATTACTGGTCACTTTATTTGTTATGTTTTTTTAATTTGACGTTATCTGATGTTGATTACTATGTGTGATTTTTTTTTATCAGAAAAAAATTTGATTTGTAAAAATGTTTGGCTTTGTTCATGTCATACCTTAAATATATGGATTGTTCACCTGATACTAATTATTTAAACAATATTTTAAAATTCACAATAATTTTTCTGAAAATTGATTTTTATAGTTTTTTTTTTTTTTTTTTTTTTTGCATGCAATGATTTGTTCACTGAAGATAGAAATTAAACCAGTGGTATTTTATATGAAACATTTTTTGAAATTTTCAGCAATATTCTCCCTAGGTTCTTGGCCAGAAACACAATTATAATAATACTTGTACTACGTACCTACTTTAATAAGAATTTTTTTTTTTTTTTTGCATGCAATGATTTGTTCACTGAAGATAGAAATTAAACCAAATCGTCCTATATATATATATAGATATATACATATATATATATATATACATATCGTATCTTCCCGATTGAAAAAATTAAAAACAATATATTGATGTTATAATGCATTTGTGTAATTTATTGTCAATGCCATAACTTATATTGCCTAACAAATATTTTTCCAATTCGTATTATGTCTCATCAAGTTGGTATCAGGATGTTTAATCGAATAATCGAATAAGTCAGAGATTATTTATTATGGACTCAGAATATATTATAATATATTTACTAAACTTTTTGAAAAAAAAAAAAAAAAAACTTGTACTAATTTAAACATTAATTTGTTTTATTTAATCTTACTCAAAAAAAATTCAATTATAAAATGGCAAACATCACAAATTATACTATGTAGGTAATTAAATTATTATTTTAATTTAGAAAATAAGGCGTCTTACTTGTAAAAAATGTCTATTTAAATATGAATAATGGAAGATGTAGAGTATATTCGTGAAACTTGCCGTGTTTTATCCTCAGATAATACTTATATAAAGATAATTTATGTCCAGGACATTTAAAGAATTAATTTGTTCGTGTGTTGAAAATTAAAAACTAAATAAAATGTATTATTAATTATAATATAATCTAATGCAATAAATAATAAAAGGATATCGATGTGTACTCAAATGATTAATACAGTTTAACCAATTTATTTACAATTAAAATAATCTATTTCTTTCACTTATAATTATTTTACTATTATAATACTCTCACGTAGTTTGAAATTTTGAGTTTAATGAAGAATGTGTTGGTTTTACTATGATGTTTATTTTAATCCTTTTTTTAAGTGAACAAGAAAGTTTACTAGAAAGCTTTCTCCGATTATCAAGTATAGCACTTTGTTTAAAACGAAATATTCTTTGGGAAGTACTTTAGAAAAGTAATTTTTTGAAATTTTTATTAATATTCGAGATATTGAGGAAAACCTGATTCTTTAGATTAAAAAAGATTGATAGATTAAAAATAAGGTCTCATTAGAAATTGTTTTTTTTTTTTTTTTTTTTATTATAATTAAGTTTTTATTATTTTAATCTTTTTTAAACAATCGTTGTTATGGAAATGTATATTGTAGTAATCATTTTACCATAATATAACATATATATTATTGTTAAAGCAACACTATCAATTGAATCCCGCTCAGAGTCGTTTTTTCGTTAGCAATAGTTTATTGTTGCTTACAGATATACAGTAAATTCCCGTCTGAACCCTATCTTCTCAACTTCCCACACACAACAATGGCTTCACCCACATGTGAGTTATGTTCATTTTAATGGGTTCCCTTGACAACAAGGAAAAACACGATAAATATAACTTAGCTCAAAATTGTTTTTTTTGTTTGCAATGATTTATCAAAACTTACAGAATGTTAAGTTAACTACTCTGTATATCCTATATTTTTAAATATCGACCCATAATCGCGCCAACCAGTAATCAGTATCAACATTATTTATTTTTTTCGCCTATTTAAATTCACGATTTTACCGTATTATAGTGATCTCTATAGTGAATTACCTACATATATACTAAAGCAATGTTGTATTCTATCTAGATGAATCATTTAGATAATTTCCCGATAAAAATCTAGATTTACCAAGATAAATTATTTTAAATCGTTTAAATTAGAAATAAAGATCAAAATATCAAATACATTATTATGGTTAAGTAAATTAATCATTAAGTTTCACACAACATTTATTTGAATTCCAAATTTATTTATATAAAAACTAAATCTGGTAGACTTTTATTATTTTCAACACTTTAGTAAGTATTTAGTGAAAAAATTTATATTTTTTTATCTAGATAAATAATCCTAATCAGTTATCATTGTCTAAATAGTTAAATTGTTTTATAAATTGTATCTTAATCAAGGTAATTATTCTAGGAATTATCTCTTATCTTTATTTAGACTTTTAAAAATGCATATTTATACAACAACCTAATAATATTATTACGTTTACGTTTAAAACGTTAATCTTGTAATAATTATTATAATATATATATATATATACGGACAGAAAAATAACGCATTGTAGTTCGTTATAAATATAGAACTACGTTAGTGAAATTGACACTTTAATTTGCCACCATTGGTGTGATAGCTATCATTTATTATTGGACTTTTCGCTCAGAACTAAATTTATTGTTTATTGCTTTAAATGTATAACTATCACAGATAATAGTACTTAATACGATTAAGAAGCTATTCATAGGAACAATATAGCAAATAGTAATTTTGATTCGATGTACTGAAACTAATCAAGACATTTTCAATTCCAAGTTTAATAATGGTATGTTCATATTGTTTTGCTGTAATTATACCTGTAATAGAAAAAACGATTTTTAATTATTTTTTCATTTTAGCATGCTTTAACAGTATGTTAAATTACTAAATTTACTTTTTTCATCAAGTTCTTTAGTTGTTCGTAAACAGTTAGTGTTTGTGACCATGTTTTAATAATATTCGATAACAAACTATGAAATATATATATTTTTTTAATGAGTATTTTGATTAAATTCGATTATCGCTTTTTCGAAAATTGTTTTACTTAAATAATATTATTATAACTTCGCAATTAGTAGGTATCACTTCGAGTTTTGGAGTACTTGCATATTTTTGTCACTGAAATGCGACATGGTAGATAATTCGGATAACCTAATTTACCCTAGTACAAATTATGATAAAACTTCAATTAATGGAGATAACCGAAACAACAAATACAAATTTTAGTAAAAAATCGTAATATAAACTGGAAATTTACTAGTAGAATTAACTGGTGAATAACTCGAAGTATAATTCTTCTCCAGCCTCCTCGTGTTCATTCCACAAGAGCTACTCTTGTTTTCACCCTATCCGTATCCTTTTATACAATATCCAGTCACCTTATTAGTCTATTTTAAACGCTTTCACAATTATCTCTTTAGATATCTAATAACCTCTAGATAATTTTTCTTCATTCCACACTCAACTTATAAATACCTTTATTTTTTTGCTAAACGTTTGTTCTTCTCTTGACATTCCAGTATACCGTTTTAATAGGCTTTCAGTGTTTCTGTGTAGAACTCGCTATAGTCACTACTCATATGGAGACTTCCTCTCAGAGTAATTTTTTTATTCGTCCCGATGATCGGAACGATACAACGGACGGGGTTTAGATCCCCGTGTCGACCACACCACCGCCTGCCCGTATGATGGATGAGCCAAATCGTGTCCGTCCACTTAGCATAGAAATGTCGACGTCACCATCACACTATTTCCGACCCGACTCATTTATAACGGCTGTACACTGTTACTACACTCGAGTGCGTGAATGCATGTATTATTACAACATCCCGTTGCAGCATCCGTACAGACAGTATTGGTACGATTGTATAGTGTGGCGTGTGTGTATAGTGGAGAAAAGTTTTGGAAATATGTCATCGAGACATGTAATTTCCCGAACGAAAATCTCATGGGGGTCGATATTGTAATATACAGGTTCCGTATTATAGTTTAGCAAACCTATAATTTTAACGAAAAATTTAAGCTTCCCTATACAAAGTGCATAACCATTGTTTTGCATTAAAGATATACATTTTTAAATAATATCAATAAAAATTAGAGATAATATTTTATAGAATATTTTTTTTTTTTTAGGGATTCTAAACTTATGAGGTCAAAGACTTTCTTTCGTACTATTCTTTCATACTCTCTACAATAAGATTAAAGTATTTTTAATATATGTTATATTGTATATATGTATATATGTATATATGTAATAAATGGCATTTTAATCCACCTTGGGTCCCACATTTCGGTGAATCGTGAGTGGCTGCGGTTCGTTCCACCAAGACATTAATGGTGCGTATCACGGGAGAAAAGGTCCTAACCCTCGAAGAGTTCAAAACGCTTCTGCGTCGTATCGAGGTTATTTTTAACTGTCGTTCCCTTACCCCAGCGTCGACCGATCTTGCAGATTTGAGTTGTTTGACATCAGGACATTTTCTGATCGGTCATCCTCCAATCGCAGTCGACATTATATATATATATATATATGTATATAAATCTTCAATTTAGTTTTGTTTGAATATTAAATGAGTTTTCTTATTTACATAAAAAGAAAAAAGAAAATGTAAGGTTAACAATTAAATATAACTTTACGAAATTACACAATAATGGTCGATAAATTTTATCGGATAAAATATAAATAACCGAAAAAAAAACTGATACTGAGGATGGAAACGGCCACTGTTTTAGGAGAAAATTTGGGTAGGTAGGATACATAGGGTTATTTTATTTATATTTGTAAGTAACGATAAACAATTGCTTGACGACTAACGATTCCGAGCGCAGTTCTGTAACACATAATTTGAAGTTCTGTGATTTTTTTTGCAATTTTCTTTCAAATTAAATTTCAAAACGCTTATTGAAAAAAAAAAAAAGTCGTCCGATTATTCTAGAAATTTCACCACGTCTAGGAAAGACCAATATTAGTATTATTACAAAGTTAAACGAATTAAAGCAAAAAAACTCCCAACAGTTTAAATTCCTAAAAAGCTCAAAAGAGGCTCAAAATTTTGGCGATGATATCGTAAGAAAGTAATTAAAAAAGGTAAAACAAAAATGTATCTTGTAATTTGTCGATTAAATCATTTTTTGTGATGGTAAACGTTGTCTGTGTATTTATAAAATTATGAAATCGTAAAATTGTATGTTTTCCTATGTTTTTTCCCATTTATGTGCTTTTATTTAAAAAATGACGTGGAAAATCAATAAATTAACTCTTTAATGTACCAAGCTTATAGTACTTGAGCTTTCAGAAAAGTTTCTACACGTAAAAGAGTATCTTTACTAGGAAAAAACGTGTCTACAGACTAGAAGAAAAGAAAAGAAAGAAGAGAGAAATAAACAGCATTGTAAAACGAATAGCTTCCTCCCTATACCCTGAATCTAAAATAACGTTTTCTTTTTTTGTGATTTTTTAAAATTTCCATGCCTCCTTAGGGGGAGCACCCCCTTCAGGTTGACTACCCTTGATATAGTTGATGATAAAAATACAAACAATTTAATATTTAGATAAATAAAATATGAAAAATAAATAATTGATACATTTTTAGCTAGAAATAAAAAAAAACTGATTTTCGTTTATTACTTATCTAATTTATCATATAACTTAGTAATAAAAGTAGTAAAAGTGTAACAGATATGGTAAAAGTCTAGGCTTTATAAAAGTTGTGTGATTTACGTGTCATAATAATTAATTCATAGGACCATATGAATATGAATTGAATATTTTACCTAATAAGTCTAACAAATTTATAAATTACGATTTGATACGATTTATGCGGATGAATTTAGATTTAGATGTGCCATTTTCTATCAAAAATTACAGCTAAGATAACTTATTCCAAATTTAACTGGATAAGAATATAAGATAAGAGATTAATTTAATATACGAAAGTCGAATGTCAACTACACCGACATCTTTGTAATTGTATAATTATTAATTTTTACCTATTCGGAATATAGTTACACAATAATTGTTTAGTTTTCTACCATATTTGTGAGTTAAAATTTAAGATTTAATTGTACTCTTAGTATTTCATCGCATTATTATAATGACAAAATTGTTTTTATGACGTGCTTGATGGCTTTGCATGAAATTACACGAAATTATTGAAAATAGTACCTAATCATTGAAAAGTGAATATCTTATTTTGCTCTCGCGAGATGAAGTATTGTGCTGGAAAAAGGCGATTAATTTTACAGCAACAAATGGAAAACCCTGTTTAAGATGCAATGGCTGTTTGGTACGAACGTACTGATTTCCGAATGATCATTGTCATCGTTAAGAATCGCATGAACACTACGTCGTTTATTCAGTTGAGCAACTTTTTAGATTTATCACGCGGTCGAGTCATTTGCCATTTCTAATGATTATCATATTTTGACGCATTGCACTAATGAGCGTACAGAGATTGGCGAGGGGAGAAATCCGGATCAGAGGACAAAAATTCGATAAATAAATACCGAAAATTAAATTCAGACCTTTTTCTTTAAAATCTATAAAACGGATATTAATATTTTGATTTTAAATTATTTTATACGGGTGATTTATAATAAAATCATAATATTAAAGGACATTATTTTCAAAATAAATCAAATATATTAAATATACACAAATAAATATCGCAATTTGTTCTATTACGTAGGAATTCTTTTCGTTTTTAAAAGTTTTTCTTAAGCCTTTTTTTATCTTTTAGGGACCCGGAAAACCAGGATTTTAGTCCTCTTAGCCCCTCCCAAAGTATTCAACTCTGACCACTGATAAACATTAATTGTAATTATGATTAAAAGAATACAATATATTTTTTCCCATTTTTTTTTTTTTCGTAATCAATACATGACAGAAACAATATTTTTAGATACACCGTAAACACGGACCATTAAAAAACTGAAAAAAAAAACATTGTCAATATCGCGTGATACTGATTTAAGTGATATTTTTTTTTTTCGACGAAATGGTTTTTATTTTTCCACTTTACAATCTATTTTCGACTTTCGTGTTGTGGTATATCTAGTGAAGTTTTCTGTTAGCCAGTAAGTTAATAACTGCAGAAAGTTCTAAACATCTCAAAAACAAATTTATGCACCCCTCAAACTGCTTTCGACGTAGATAACATAAAACTCGGTAACTGAAATTTGTCGATAACTAACTTAAATGACAAACATAATAATATATACTTGTTGATAATCTCGAGCATAAATATTATTAACATCATATATACAGAGAACAATCTTATAGCACAAAGAATGCAATACGTAAGATAATATGGTAATTTTCGTTAATAATAAGTAGCCGAATTTATATTAAATATTTTAAAATAATTTATTTTGTTTTACGAACTATTAACGGTGCGATTATTCAAAACAATATTATGTTGATTTCAACATTTTACTAAGAGGAAAAAGATCATTTAGTATTTACTTCGCGATTCCTGTTTTCAAAAAAAAAAAAAAAAAATTTTTTCTACTAAACGTAAGCAAAAATGGAACTGTTCGGCAGTTAGATTAAAATGAACATATTTCGTATTCCACGGCGAATATTATCTATGACAAATAGTGATAATACGTACTGATATACACGTGTCACTATACAATAACACGAGTTTTACAATTCTACCGGTGAATTATCTGACAATGTCTGGATGTTTTATAATTGTACGCTAAACTCGAATCCGATGTTCGCGAAAACACCGTGCTATACGCAGTGTACGGCTGTTTTACCCGAGCTACCGTCATAAAGTTCATTTAACGAACGACTCTGCCGTTTTGTTATCCGATCATAAGAACAAATCGGGCCCGAGCCGACGGTGACGGTTATTTATGTGGAGCGTATAAAATAAAATAAAATGTTTACCGCATCCTATGCGAGTCATTAAGTATAATCAAACCGTATAAATGCATAGAATATCTAATTCGATGAAAAATTCAACGAAATCTCGACCAATTATTTTTAGAACACGCTAACGAAATAATGTCATTTATAGAATACATATAGGTACCTACTGCTTAATGTGGTGTTTGTTTAATTTACGTGCAGTGTGCACTGTCTTATTTGGCATAAGCGAATAAATTGTATTTACTCATCAAACGGAAAAAAAAAAACCGTATTATGATTGTACGCTCTAGATGTTAATTCAATCGTAAGTAGATTGACCCATATCTTTTAAAAGTTTGAAAAATATCATCGAAGGTTTTCATAATGAATATTTATTTTTAATGGATATTTTAATCTAAATATTAAGAAATTAAACATTAACAAACATTGTTTTCGTTTTTTTTTTTTTCAATTGCAGGTGAAAACTCGAGAGGTTTTCAAATTTATTTACCAATAATATTGTATTTCAGTTCGAGAAATTGTCCGACATGAATTAATAAAATTGTACTCGATAAACCGTTATTCTGAAGTACTGAATTATTCTAGGCTGGAAACAAAAAAATAATAAGCTGATTATTCGACATTTAAATCATATCAGAGTTAGTTGTCCATGTTATATCGTTTTTAAAATTATGCGGGGAATATAAAGAACGTTAGAATTTTCGGGCGTGAAAATGATAAGAAAAATCCCGAAAAATTATTTCGCCCTTCAAAAACATCGCCTTACATATTTTTTATGCCCGAGTTCATGTACTAATATAATATAATGTTTTATAATTTCGCGTTGGGAAGTGTAGTCTTAAAAAACTCATTTTTCATTCGGTACGAAATTTATATCTCCGTAGAACATTGAAAAAAAAAATTATTTAAAACCTAGTCGAATAAAAAATATATCCATATTTTAAATTTCGACACAATAGTTGCGTAGATCGCGATAGCGCTATATATTTCTTTTTATTTTCAAAGGAAGTAAAATGATAAGAAAATTCATTATTTTTTTTATTTTTTTAATAGAATTTCATTTTAAAGGGGATATTTTTTAAAGGGTGAATTTACAATATCAATTGTCTCGTTCAGTGATTACAATGTACGGAATATGTAGAAAGCCTTCGTCCATACATAATTGTATTGTAGATTATGGAACCGCGTAACCGTTTTTTTATGTAGTTATTCGAATACATAGGTTATGTATAAATTTATTTATTTTTTTGTTATAAACTATTTTTTTGGAATTCGTAATATATGTAAATGACATATTGTAAGTTATTTATCCTTTTGCATTTCAAACAAAATGTTTACATTATGAAAAATATTTCATTTTTTTTTTTTTATTATTAGTGGAGATGCGTTTTATTTGTATTACACTTACAGCGTACAGGTGTACACGCGTCCTGCTACAAAAGCCTTTACAAATAAACGCCCATATAAACGCGTATCGCATATCGCTAATCGGATAATAATATACACATTAATAAATTACACCTACCCTATGTAACCGGTATAACAATCAAGATTAAACTGATATTATAAAAAGAAACTTTAGTTTGTACTCAGTAACACACAAGTGACTCGGTATTCAAGTACAAAATTTTTAAACCATCTTTTTTTCTAAATCTAAAACTGTGTCGGTAAATATTTTAGACGCGCCGCAAGCAGACACGTCTGTACGCTACCGATTACGTAGTTTTGTTAGTGAATTCGAAAAACATTTAATATTTTCTGGTAACGGCGAATTATTTGTTTTGTTTTGTTTTTTTAAAGTAATTCGTTAGGTCATCGAAATCCAATATTTAGTTATAAGTGTACACACATATATTTAAGTAATAGTATAATTTCATCAAGTGCCCATACTTATGACTATTCAAACGTCGGTGATGTTAATAAATAAGAGTTTTCCACTCGCTTATTGTTGCGTTTTATATATGCCAACAATAATAATTTAAAATAATTATAATAATATTATATATGTCACGCTCATGTTCGTGACTTTTAATACAGTTAAAAAAAATAACTGGCTATGCGAATGCACTATAATGTTACCCTTATAAATAATTCTCCTCAAACTTTGTAATATAATATAATATAGTTATAACGGAGCCGACCGTGTTTAGGAAACATAGACAATTTGAAATTTTCGGTTTCTTTTTTTCAGTTTCTACTAAAATAAACAATTCAGTACTACATTAAAAATACAACAAAAGAAAGGTTGCTGTTTTTCTATTTGAGCAATATTTATGGTAGAAAACAATAGCCGTGACAATTTTAAATGATGGAATCATCGTGCCGTAGTTTGAAAGAGCCGTATTTTTCTAGAGGATTCTAAGTGAATTTGATTTCTGTTTTTTCTAATCATTATGGAATCGTTTAAGCTTTATTTTAAAACCATTTTTAATTTTTACTTCTACTCTATACACCTTAAATAAAAAATACTTTTGATTTTCAAATAGAAACTCCTCTTTTGAACACAGATTTGAATATATAATATTTTTCCAGAAATTTTGATATGCATAACACTGATATAAAATTTACCATTTATGAAATATAATAGTTTAAACTTTAGACCAGAGGAGTAGGGAAGAGTAATACATTTTAAAATAAAGCCTAAACGATTTAATAATGTTTGAAAAAACAAATTAACTTAAAAAAACTCCGAGATAGCTGGTTCATGATAAAAAAAATCACCCTGTTTACATTTTATATTTATCCGGAATACTCGCACAATAAATATAACTTTCTTATGTATTATTGATGATGCGGATAATATTATAAGTTTTAAGGTTCAATAATATTACATCCGGAGAAAAAATCGAAACAAACATCATAACGATCCAATTAGTTCCACACGACAGATACGGTTTTTAGACAAATAAGTTAACAGTAATAGTATCGATTATATTTTCAATGGCGTGGGGGGGGGGGGGGGGGTAGGAGGAAACGAAAGAAGATTGACAATAGTAAATGGACGTTAACGTTATACTTTCCAGCACGAAGATACATTAATATTCTCTTCGGCGTTCAGACTATATAATATAGTATGATGATATTATTCTTAAAATGATTTATGTGTTGAATGTATTAAATATTTACGAACTCTTTAATAAAATGACGTTTGTTTATTTGAAAATAATAATAAATGAACTAAGAAGTTAATAAACGTTTTAAATTTAAATTATCATCACCATTGGATAACGTCAATTTCTGTGCTATTAATTTTAATATTGGAATAAATTGCCGTATTTTCAAACTTAAACGTGCAAATATTATCAGCGTTTGTACGTTAATATAATATTAATATAACGAGACTAGACGTGATTTCAATTTATAAGAGGGTGGCATGTTGAAAAATATATTTAACGATTCCGTTAGCTATATATGGTTTCGGAGAAAAATGGCTCGAGTAAATTTTCTATAGTTTTTAATAAAAAGAAAGATTAATTCATTTTGAAAATTGCTAAATGACAAAATAACATAATAATTGCTAAACAACCTAACCTTAATATGACGTTCTAATTGGTCTAAATCATTACATGACATGCCTTTTTTCTAAAAGTATATTATAGTGACTTGAGCTATTTTAATTTTCAGTAAAACATGACGTGTTTGAATGGATAAAATAATCTCGTACCGTGTATACGTTATATAGAAATATTCAGAGAAACGCAATCATTTCCGGAATATGAAATTAGAAACACAAAACACTATCTACAGCAAATGGTCTTGGAATCTCGTCGTGAATACGTTTACAACTCTAAGAAAAGACGCCCATTTCATACTTTGTATAATTATTCTTATAACGTTTACATTCTTAGAGCATCAGATTTAAAGCATTCGCCCCGAATTAACGGATACAAATCTATTGTTTTATCTACACTTATCTCTAAATAATGATTTTATTGAGGGAAAAATATATGTATTAATATGTAATTGATGTTATTTGATTCTGAATGTATAATATTTTTCGGCATTTCATAAAAAAAAAAATAACAAAAAACAAAAAAGCAATCACCGGTGTGCATACTGCAATACTAGTGCCTCATAGTACTCATGGTACTTTATATGGTGCTGATACTGTACACCGTCCAGAAAAAAAAAACCTAATAAATTATTATTATAGAGATAAAATCATAGACACCAGGTTTCAAAAAAAGTGATTCTTAGGTAACATCGTCATTTCTCCTACCCCTAAAAAAAAAAAACAATTTTATATTTGGCGAATAGGTAAATATAGAAATATAGCTACCTATTGTCTTGTCTAGGACAGGTTAACTGTGCTTTTTAATACGTTTCTTTTATATTCGATAATTTATATTATTAAACTGAATACAATTCATTACAGTCTATTGTATTTTATCCTCAACTAATAGGTTATAGATCTTAATCTGTCCACAGTCCAATTATAAAAATAAAACAAAAATTATTTTTTAGGTAAATATATAAATAAAGACTACGTTTATAGTTTGTAACTATACAAAGAACAACAATTGTACTTATAATAATATAGTTGTATATATTAAATTATGTAAATTTACAAAAAAAATATTTAATGACAATATATTGGGAAAAAGATTTCAGTGTGGTTAAGGTGACATCGTCGCTGGAGTTTGACTCGTCAGATCAATATTTTCATTTTAAATATTTTTATTTTGTGAATCTTCAGATTCAAAATATTCAAATAATTCTTCATGTCTTAAATCAGTTTTTAGATCATGTTCCTTATTAACAATACTATTTGTAAACAATGGTTAGTAATTTTCAATAATAATATACCTATAGAATTGCTGGCAGATAATAATAAGGAGATTGTAAGTATTCAGAATTTTATCAAATAGGATACATTTTTAAAAATAATTTACCGTAACATTGTTGGCATTTAATTTTTATCGACCAAATACTATTACAATGTTAGATAAATAACTATACAATCAAGTTTTGATAATTTTGTCATTAATTATGTATACAGACAACCTCACAATAAATCATATTTAATTCTAATAGTGTATAATTTTAACCAAACTATTTCTTAAAATGTAATATTATAATCATTATAAAAAAATGTGTGAGACATAAAATTTTCTTTGAAATCGGTAGTGGAGGGTGAATATGTTTATAAGTACTACTAAACTTTAATTCAAAAGGTTACTTTTTTATAATGACTTAGAATACCAAAATATATTTTGCAGCATTGATATTAAATAAGTGATATGATCTTTTATACTATATTTTTGCTACCGTTCAATGTATATGTAATATTAATGATATATTTTTGAATTTGTTATGAAATTTTAGTCGTAATGATCGGGTATTTATCGGTAAAATCTGCGTTACACTTCTCTGATATATTATTTTTGCCATCTTAAAATCTCTTCGTAATCTAATTGTTCATTTATAATATAGTTTTTCCTGATGCATGCTAAAATATTTATCTTGTTTAAATTAAATCAACAATTAAAAACGCGCAGAATGCTCTCAATTTATTTTAGGAGGCTATTTTTAAAACTAAAATTATTCATTTATATTGATCGGATTATACTGATATATATTTTATTAATACCTAACAGAAGCAACACAAAAATAATTAAAAAATAATACGTATCGAATAAATATACATATATAAAAAAAAAGATTATAAATAGTTTTCTCATGCAGAGGCTCTATCTGTCCATGGTATGTGGTTTGAAAGTATAAATCATTGCGCTTCATTAGTCATTAGTTAATTGAGTTTGCACACGACTCACTCATGTAACTGCTGTTACAGTTAGCTGCCGTTATACAAGTTGTAATTTGTGTAGGTTGAGTTGCCTACCTATACTATTTGTGTTTGGTGTGTTTTCTAAACAGGTACCTATTACATTTTTTATGATAATATCCCTGATTGTGTTTAAATTATGCATCATTACATATGCATTTATTATGTTTCGCTATAGGTTATTATTTTATATTGTTAACTTTAATGTACCGGCCTGCATTTAACAAACAGATATGATCTATAAATAAAATCCTCTATTTAAATGCACTATGTTTTTTTTTAGAAAGCATCACAATTCTATTCCTGTATATATACTTATAACCTATAAATAAAACAAATATTTTGTAGGTAGAATAAACATTACATTAATAAATTGACTCAGTTAATAGATAAACGTCTAGGCTTATTTTCATTAAATAATATGTGAAATTGTATACTTTAGAATACCTACTATTTAACTTTTCAAACAAAATTAAATGTTTAAATCAACAAAGCGTAAAACGTCGGTTGATTCATGTGTATTTTCTTAATCATTTCACAATGCATTTTATCGGTTCATCATTAGTTAAATTATAAACATTTTTTATTTCTAATACAACAAAATTTTATTAATGTAATGTTAACAAACATATTATTTAATTGGCCTACATTTTTTTTATGAAATCACTGGTATATTTGATTCAGTGTTGACTTAGTCACTATAGGTATGGAAAAAAAAATAAATAGTCATATTCATCTGTAAATAACAACCTAAGTCATTTAACTTGATTTTAAAATAGGTAGCGTGTTAGTCGTTAAAAAAAAAAAAAACAAAAACGCGAACAAAGTCGCGGGAAACAGCTACAATCATTATACATACAAATTATAAAAATTGATAGCAATTTAACAAATACAATTTTTTTTGTTTATAGTTGTAACATAATATATAACAATTAAAGTACATAGCTCTAGTAATTATTAAAATAAACCGAACAAACTTGAAAATAATCAGTGAAAAAAAAAAAAAAACAAATTACATTTATTAAATAGTCTTGTTACGCCATTTATATCGACTGCTGGGGTAAAATCCGCAGATATACACAAAACTTATGTAAAATATACGGGTAGATAATGCAATATAATTACAGCTGAATAACTTACTGTGAAACAAAGGAAAGTTATAAGAGCGAATTCGATACCCGCGTGCGTACTCCTCGAATCGCACAAACGCACGATACATAGCAGATGTTTAGCAGGAATGCTATGTATGTTGTCAGTTTAACAAATAGTCATTATTTTTATCAAACTTAACAAAATATAATGATATTTTCCGTTTCTCTTTTGGAAATCATTAGTCTTTTTCTTGATATTTTAATTTTTCTCGGCGAATGGTAGACTAGGTTGTTGTCATGCACTTATTAAATTGCGATTTGTCGAAAATACCAACTGGTTAAAATACCGAGAAAAAAAAAATCAACGTATAGAATGCGTATGCATACACGGATAATGTTCGTACATTTCTGTTTGAAAGTGTAGTCGTCAATTTGCTGTATTACATTGAAACCAACATCATAAAACCGTCTCTGCCAAACGGAAATTAATTATGCTGTACATTTGAAGGACGGTATTATTATTTTTTTTTTTTTTTTTTTTTTACCAATGAATGACAACATGTCGCCGGCAAACATTTCGTTTTAGCGCGTAAACTCGTTCTAGAAATGTATTTTTAAATTTATTTCCCCCACCCCCGTTCCCCACGTTCAACACGCGAACGATGCATTTTATGTTTTAATATTCGGAATGCGCGCACACAGCAGCCTGCAAAACGTGCTCTCGGGAAAAGTTGCGTGAACTAGTACGTACGCCTGTCGATTTTCTAAATACAATGAGACGTACTGCGGAGCGGCGAAGGGACCAGCAGCGACAGCGTGCGCGCACGGCTTTTCACCGTCTCTGTTTTTTTCTTTTTCGTATTTTTCCTTCAACGCGTGCATCTACGTACCCCGTACATGTGTGGCTAAAAGAAAAAAAAAAAAAAGTAGCGAACAAACGCGAATGCTAATATCTGGGGAAACAGGTGAAAACGAACGAACGGCCGGGGCGTGTGCACGGGCATTAACATTTTATCACTTCCCATTGAAACGCGTACCACGCGTGATGTATACCCGTACCGAACCTTTGGACGTCCGTTTGATGCCATTCAACTATTATAATATTGTGCGGTGCATATAGACGAACAACACGCGGGACACATAGTGTAAACCGAAACAATATGTTTAGATTTCGTGCCGAGCGGAAGAGATATCGTTTTTACAATAAGATGTGTGCGTGTGTTACTTTTTTATCGAAAAAAAAAAATATGTTAGGTTAGTAAAAATGATCCAATTTTTTACGTCACATGTTAACCCTACATGCACTATGTTACCTACATCTTACGATATTTTGAATCGTTTATAAAATGTTATTAAAAAAAAAAAAAACAATTTCTTATAATCTGGACAACGACTATTCGAAAACTTGGGTTTAGAAACCGCACACAAACTGTAGATAACAAAATTTAACGATATTAATCATATCAAACATTTCTTAAACGCTGTAGCATATTATATACGTTTTAAAAAAAAAAAAAACATTTTTTTAACGATAGGTACCTACATATTTTTTGACACTCCATGGTATCATTTATTTTTTTTTTAAATTTTTTTTTACAAATATTTTATAATTTTACCTATGCACGATGTAATGCACTATTATTTATTACAGGATTTAATATACCTATAACAACGTAATATACCTTGATTTTAAAAAATAAATAATTATATATTAAACAATTATTTACGAGTATATAAATTCAAATTTCTTATTTCTACTGTTCTTATTTTGATTAAAAAATATTTAGTTAATTTTTTTTCCTAACTCAGGAGATCAAGTTATGTAGAAGCTAAGGACGATTACGGTTGATATCACTCAATTGTCGGGACGAAGGTGAAGAAAACTTCATATTGTCAACAAAAAAAAAAAAAAGTTATAGAT